GAGAGAGAGAGAGAGAAAGGAGCAGAGAGAGAGAGAGAAAGAAGCAGAGAGAGAGAGAAAGGAGCCACAGACAGGCAGAAAGAGAGAAAGAGAAAGGAGCAGAGAGTTGAGAGAGACAGGAAGGAGCAGAGACAAACAGAGAGAGAGAGAGAGAAAGGAGCAGAGAGAGAAAGAGGAGCAGAGACAGGCAGAAAGAAAGAGAAAGGAGCAGAGACAAACGGAGAGAGAGAGAGAGAGAATGAGATGCAGAGAACATTATGTTTCCAAGAAAGACCACAAGGCCAAAGTATTTAACAGCAGGAACTTTATTAACAAGATGTTCACTGTGCAAGCTTAGATTGGGAGCTGTATCTCACTCAGAAGGAGGGTTGACATGATTTTATGTCATATGATTGGACTCTTAAAGTGACAGCCCACTGTACAGACCAAATACAGAACAGACAGCGATGGAAAGATAAGAGTTGGACGGGTCTGAGCATGGAAACAGGCCCAACTAGAATTTTATTAAGATGTAGACTTTATGGCCACGTGTACTCAACTGCAGGAGCAGAGCGAAAAGTGCATAATGTCACCATGTCTTAGGTACCGAGGAACAAAAAAAGCCCAGGACAGGGCTGTAAGAGAAACAAGAGTTAAAAGGTTAAGCATCACTTTGGAGAATAGACGAAAAATAAAGAAGTAAGAAATAGTTTACATGAAAGCCGTTGATAGTTTAAACGAGGACAATGAAGGATAAAGTACCACAGAGTTTGATGAGCCGTACACTTATCTCCATCAACTATCTGATCTCAAAGCTGCCGCGACAGACACTGTCACTGCTGCTAGAAATACAGCTTCTGCGATCACCCCCAGTACCTCAGGACTCGCTCACAATCTCAGCGAAGACACTCACCGTGAGTTACCGAGAGACCAGGCCGAGACACTCACCGTGAGTTACCGAGAGACCAGGCCGAGACACTCACCGTGAGTTACCGAGAGACCAGGCCGAGACACTCACCGTGAGTTACCGAGAGACCAGGCCGAGAC